GACAAAAGTTGTGTATTTTAAGGCTTAGTAAAATGATGATTTAAAAATTCGGAAACTCCGATTAGTTCCGAAGATATTCAAAAAACCTAAATTAACCATATGCGTTTGTATTTTTTCTGATCCGATTTGAAAAGATATCAAAAAACAAATTATTTTTTTTAATTTTTTTAATTTTTTTTTTTATTAAATATTAATTCGCAAGACAAATTTTGAATTGTATAGGATACGTCAGACACAAAAAAATACAATTAAATACAATTTAAAAAATGTTGGTCATACACAATACAATGGACAAAAAAGAAAGAATGCAATATAAATTACACTAGAGATCCGCAATTTCAATCAATACAATTTAGAAATTCATCAATTGTATATGGTGCATTGACTAGAAGAAATTTTTTTAAAGAAGATTTAAAGCACTTTATTGTTCCCTGACTTCTAAGTGTACTTGGAAGAGCATTAAATAATTTAATGCCCATTGACGTGGGAGAATTATGGGCAAGTTTAAGCCTTGTTAAAGGGATGATAAATTGTTGTTTATTGCGCGTGTTGTAATTATGAAAACTGCTATGGCGTAAGAAATGTTGCTGATTATGGAAAATAAAAGTTAACAATTCAAGTATATAGAGTGATGAAAGTGTAAGAATATTCAATTTTTTAAATATCGGGCGACACGAATCAAATTTCTTACTACCCGCAATACACCGGACTATTCGTTTTTGTACAAGAAAAACATTTTTTGCCGCGCTTGACGAGCCCCAAACAATTATTCCATACGACAATCTGGATTGAATTTGAGCATAGTAATAATTTAAAGTATGGTTCACATCCATTAATTCGTTAAGATTCCGTATCTGGTAGCAATAAATGTTTAGTCTTTTAATAAGATTTTCGCAGTGACATTTCCAATTTAAGTTTTGATCTAAATAGATCCCCAGAAACTTCCCAGTGCCTAGAATATTAATGTTTTTGTTGCTTGAGTCAGACAAATGGTTATTTCCAAAAGTTTGTAAACGGTAGGAAAAATGTTTTATCGTGATTTAAGAATAATTTGTTAAAATTAAACCAATTACTTAGCTTATTTAGAATCTCAACAGCTTTTGGATATATATTTTCTTGCTTCTTTCCGGATATTAATGCCGTCGTATCATCCGCATATAAAACCAAGCAATTTAAGAACATGACAATATCATTAATAAATAATAAAAATAAAATAGGTCCTAAAACAGAACCTTATGAAACCCCCATATTAACAGGCAAAGCTGTGGATAAAAATTTTGCAATAGTGGAACCGGTTTTAAATTTAATTTCTACTTGTTGACACCTTCCAGAGAGATATGATGAAAACCAATTGGCAACAACGCCTCTGATACCGTAAGTATTTAATTTGTCCAACAGTAACAAGTGATCAACAATATCAAAAGCCCTGCTGAGGTCACAAAATATAGCAAGGACATTCTGTTTTTTATCAAGAAGTGAAATGATGTCGTTAACAAAGGAGTTAATGGCAGTAATTGTCGATTTCCCATTGCACAACCCGTGTTGTTTATTACTTACAATGTTATATTTAACAAGGTGACTATTTAGCCTCTCTAACATGGCGTATTCAAAAACTTTTGACAGCGTCGAGCTAACAGAAATTGGTCTGTAATTCGAGCAATCTCGAGAGCAACCTTTTTTGTGAACGGGATGCACAGTTGACAGCTTAAGTTCTTTCGGGAAGACACCGTTTGAAAAAGACATATTGACTAAATGTGTGACAGGTTTTATTATAATATGCAAACTTGACCTAAGCAAAGAATTAGGTATCATCGGGGCCCGAGGAATGTTTATTTTTTATGCTTTTTTTAAAACAATTTAATAATTCCGTTTCACTAAAAGTCAGTGCACACATACTTTCGCGAATAGTCATATTAGACTCAAAGTTGCTAGTCGAATAAATGTTTCTTTTTATAGAATGTTGAATATTTGGAGGGCCATTAATAAAATTCTCATTAAAAGTATTTGCAATTGTTTGAGGATCGTCAATGATTGTTTCTGAATTTTTAAGAGTGATATTTTTGTGCGACTTTTCATTATTGTTAAGTATAGATATAAGGCTCCATACTGTTTTATTTTTATTGTTGGAGGATTTGATTAAGTTACCATAAAACGATTTCTTACAATTCATAATGTATTGCCGGTATTTACATTTGTGTGTTAAATAAAGTTTTTTAAGCGCGGGATACATCTTTTGGAGGCGGTAAAAGTTTTTAAGATCTTGGCTAAGCTTTTTAACGGTGCTGTTTACCCATCCTTTTTTCACATATGAGGTATTACGTTTTAAAATTTTGGTCTTTGGAAACGATGAATTGAAATAAGACAAAAGTATTGTAAAATACAGTAAACGCATCATCGAATGTAGTAGCAGAATTTAAAGTTAACCAGTTCTGATTCTCCAATAACTCATGAAAACGAGAGATAGAAGCTAGCGTAAATTTTCTACCCTTGGTAAACGTAAGATTACTGTCAGAGGGTAGTGGCAAATTACTATTAAGTACAACGCATTTATGATCAGAGAACAAGAAAGGCAATACATCGCAGGTTACATCAGTAGATTTGTGTAGAAAAATATTGTCTAAAATTGCATTCTCTCGAGTGGGAATTTTTACTACCGCAGTCATATTATAAGATTCCATAAGACTATAATTGCTTAGCAAATTTTGTGTCCGTTTCAAAATGCACATTAAAATCCTCAGCAAGTATGTATCTATAATTACATTTGTATATCATAACAAATAGTGCACATAAATTCTTCATAAACAAATCAAAATCACCAGAAGGTGGTCGATAACATACAATAATAACAGTTTTGGGGTTTGTTAGCCAAACTAGCCCACACAACTCTATGTGCATTTCGACACAAAATTTACTAATGTCAAAATCAAGTGGCGATACATTTAAATCTTTTCGATAATAAATAGCTGTACCGCCGCGTATATGTGAACTTCTACAAAAATAAGAAACTAAACTACAATTACAAACACTAAAAGTTTCAATAGACTCCACATTACACCACGTTTCGGTGAAACACAAAAAGTTAATTGTCTTGTTACAGAAGTCCACCTCAAATTGCGCTAGTTTATTGATAGTGAGACCTTGAATGTTTAGTAGAACTAGATCCACACGATCGGCGACTTGGAGTTTAAATCATTTGATGTTGTGTTAACGATTTAAATCAGAAAAAAGGTATGTTATTTGTATTTTGGTGTAGTTGGCGTTGACAAATTGTCAAAATAATTCATTGAATTGTAACAAAAAATGCTACAAAATGCAGTACGTATTTTTTTCCAGACTGCGGTCAATTTAAAAATTGGGAGCAATACATTGGTTCGTTTAAACCTTTTTTGACTTTTATTAATTTTTAAATTTTGGAATTTTAAGCACAATTTCTCGGTTAACTAATCAATCAATTTAAAAGAATAAAAAGGTTATGTAATGGTTATAATGTAACGGGAACTCGTAAGAATGGAAGTGGAAATGTTACACACACTCTTACCAACTTAAAAGTAATCATGAAATTTCAAGTAATATAAGATATAAATATGATTGGTAGTCGCAGCTACACCCTCGACCACACATCAATTTGTCTCGCTTATGCAGGTATACCCCGCTATTTATTTTGGTTCTGTTTCGAATTCCAGTGTGATACTCGGACCAAAAAAATTAACCCATTATTAAATAAATAAATAATTCTAATTCGTTCGCAATAGTCGACAATTTTTTTTATCATACGTTCTCCCGTAAAAACCTCGGGCCGCACGTTTTTGTGCTGCGACTTCGCGCGCTTTTTTATTTTTGTTCGTATTTATTACTAATAATTCATTCACTGTCTAAAGTCAAGCAACGTTGCTAAGGTAATACTCGTATTTGAATGGGTAACAGCTCGAAAACTTCGCTCGTGGGTTACTATCATCATTGTATTGTTTTACAATGCTATTATACACGACAGAAAAAATTTTATTCTTTAACAGTTGCTTAAAATGATCTAAAACGTCGACATTTGATGAAATTTTAACCATAGATTTTTGTTAAATTGTTAAGGAATAAGCAATAAAATAAAAAACTACGAAAATTGAATTTACATTTTATTGCTTTTCTTAGTTATTAATTGTTCTCATAACGCATCACGACAAATGAACAAACGCATACCATTGCAAAATTCCATCCTTTCTCCACAATTAATGGAACTTAAAGGACAAGGGAGCAAGGTAAAAGAGAGGGTTCACTGACATGATTAGCTTAAAGTGTCATGGGAATACCAACCCCCAAAACATTAGGGGAGAAAGAGCGAAACTGGAACAAAAAGGTCATCTTTGCTGCCAATTGGATTGCGCAGTAACTATAACAGTTGGAGGACTTTCAAACACCATTCAGAATGATTGCGGTTGTTTAGTCGCCTCTTACGACACGCAGTGCCCTCTGCGATAGGGTTATTCTTTCCCGACCCTACACGGGACGGACTATTCGATCAGGGGAAAAGGAAAAAGTTGGTGGTACTGGTGTATCTAGCTTAACGAAAAGCAACACAGGGCGGTTTCGTGATCACAAAACCTAAATTGGTGTTCCGAAATTAGTTAAGAGAAAAATATAGACAAACGTGATCAATTGTGAGAACAAAAACATAGCAAATCCTAGTTTTTATTTATATGATATTATTTTTTATTTTTACTTTGAGATTATTTTACTAAGATGCGCGCTTACTATTCATAAAAGATTAGTTTTTTTTTAATAATAAATCGACTATTCTTCTGTTGGACCGGAAGCCCCCACTGTCAGACGTTTTAACAATTTTTCACGAAATCGAAATGTTAAGGAAAGAAAATGTACTGGCTGTTCATTAGTAATATCGAGTAACAGAAATTGAATGCAGAGTATAAAAAAAATATTCTAAAATCATCAGTATTTAATTTCGTATATTGTTTATAAAATAAATATTGTAATATAATGTAATAGTAGTTTTAATATGGACCACTAGCTCCAGGTGTACCATACTTGCTTCCGCTTCCAGAAGAACTGCTTCCAGCCGCATCCAATCCGCCAACACCACCACCGGTGCTGATTACAGTATGACCTCCACCAATCCCATGACCTCCACTAATGCCATGGCCACCAAGGCTGATTCCGGACGAACCATGCGACGATCCACTTCCGAATGAACCTAAAATACCATTAATTCCACCATGTTGGCCGGTAGCCAAAGTTTTAACAAAGGAATCTTTGTCATTGATTGGTCGAACTCCAGACCCGGACGTTTTACCGCTAAGACTGTCAGCGACGACCCTTTCGGCGTCTTGCGAATCCTTGTATCTCAAGTAGAACACTTCCGGTTTAGACTTGACAACATTATTAGTAACAGAAGCTGGAAGATTAATCGTTCCCACCGCATCCTGTTTCTTGGACAGTACGTAGACGACGGTTCTCTCTTGGCTTGGCGTGGAGGGAGCGATAATTTCTGGAATGATCGAAGAACCGACATCGGGTGACTTAACGAAGAGCACTCTGTTCCTGGAGGGAGCTGGCGCAACGTGGATGCGAAGGCGGGACTGTTGCTGGGCATCATCACCATAATAGTGAACTTCGGTGTCCTCGGAAAGTAAATCGTGACCGCCGAAACCACCTTGACCGCCGATGAAACCACCCTGTCCGCCGAGGAAACCACCTTGACCGCCGATTAAACCGCCTTGGCCGCCGACAAAACCACCTTGGCCGCCGAATCCGCCTTGATGCCCATGACCACCAAATCCTCCAATAGAACCTCCATAATGGCCAGAACCATGATGACTGCTGCCGCTGCCAAAGTATCCATCACCACCTGCGCCACCACTGACCCCCGGTAGGTAACTTCCAGACGGTTGAGAGGGTTCATACACAACTTGGGCGGGAATGATACGACCACCATGGCTCGAGCTACTTGCAGCGTGCTCCCCTGGCAAATAACTTCCGGAGGGAGCACTGTAACTGTACCCAAGATGCGAGACGTCCGGTCGTGCCAAGACGACAGACACCACACCCAACAAAATCTGCAAACAAACTTTATATTGAACCCACCCTACACAAACTCACCATACTTACCAATTGATACTTCATAATGAATTTGATGTATCTGATAATTCTACAGATAATCATTTGAACTTATATACCACCTTCTCCCGCCAATTTAACCATCGACAAAATTTGCATTGATTACAAAATAAAACGCAGCATCCCTCGGATATTAAGCCAGTTTTGAAAGTAACAGTTTCTTCTCTGTTGCAAAGGTTCTACGTAATTTGGTCGCATCACAGTTTATATTGTTAATTAATTTATTAATATTTATGTAAAAGAATGCACGCATTAACAAAAATTCTTATTTGATGTAACTGATATGGCAGTAAATTTTGAAATTATTATAATTGAGCCGTTGTTCCTTTAAATGCATTTGCAAATCAGGTGATTCACAATGTACCGGCTTCTTGATTAAGTCGTGAGGAAGAGTTGCATAATGCAGAGCATAGTGACTGATATCCAAGGAAGCAAGCGACTATGGTTACGGACATCGGTCTGTCATCCGAAGCATTGCGTTGCCGAAACAAACAGTAAATCATCGATTCAAAATAGATGTCTCAAAGGGGGCAAAATTTACATTTTAATATACTTCGGCACGCTGTTACAAAATGTACAAAATGCCTCTTTCAAAGTTAGTATAATACATACGTTTACAAAACCATTATGCGGTAGCGATCACATAATACGATGGCATAGATAGAGAAATGACAATTTATGCTAATTGAAGAGTGTGATCACTATAACTTACATATCAATTGGATGTTAAATGCAAATAGGAAATTGGCGCTAAGGTGTAAATACAAGACTCATCAATTTAGTGTACGCATTTTAATTGACAAGATTTATTTCTTGCTGTAAATAACAGACATTAACCTATTTTGGCATCTCATCATAGGCGGAAAACATGTGCACCCTCAAAAAAATGCACCCCCTCAAAGAAAATTGATTGCAGGTGAATTTGCATCAACAACAAAATTCGCCCTCTTTCTCGTAACCAAAATAACTATAACTCGATTTTTCTTAAACATGCATTTTCCATTGCGACACACCCCTAGCGAGAGAGACAGCGGCGAATTTTCCCAAGGCGAGTCAAACATTTAGGGGTGCGAATTTATCTGGAGAGCAGTTATTAGGGAATGAAATTTCAGGATAATCCTCCGCCCACCCTTACATTTTTATAGCGAGGGACGAGATTGCCTACGCGTGCAAATTTTCGCTCTATTAACTTACCAATTTTGGAAACACAAACACAAAAGTCGCTGAAAAGTAAAGATTTAAACTATCGATTAAGGATCTCCCCCGATCGGCATTTATAATTTTGCATTAATTTCGGTGATTTTTGGGAGCGGCCAATCCTCTTGAAAATTGTGTACGAGTTTTTTAAAATACAAAAGAACTGATTTTCATGTCCTTAGATGAACACATATGAAAACATTCCTATAACTTCTTACAAATTTTGCGTAACTTGGAAAGCATTTCCAAAATGTCTACACAATTTTGACACATTTCCAAAATGTACTAAAATGTTTTGACATATTTCCAAAATTTATATAACAAACCTAGTTCTAAAGCATTCCCCTCATATTGCTATCACTTTTGAAATATTTGTTAATTTCTGTGACACGAGGTCTCAGTGTTGACTATTGCGATCGCTATCTTTCAGACCATCACTCTGTATTTGATACTCTGATACTATGGCATATGCCGGGCTTAACTTCTGGTATGGAATTGATGAAAATCTTAATTTTTCCCAAAAACATCAGCTTTAGTGATGAACGTACTTTCTTCTTCAACGGATTCTTGACATAATTGTGGGTACTGAGATAAGGAAAATTCACACTTGATTCGAGAAGATCGCCCTCAATTTTGCGTTTACAGAGGTTGACAACCCCACTTGCATAAAAAAAATTTTATTCTCTAAGGCACTGGTAAAAATTTTACTGTAACAATTAATTTTTTGTAATGAAATAATTAAATCCACGGCTAGCTTAGTAATACATAAACCTTTCGGTTCTTTATTTCCCCCTATAGTCTGAAAATGAAAACCTGATGCTCTGGTTTGATCACCCTCAAATAAACTAGTGAAAAATGATAATAATTGATAATATTCTGACAATTTTTAAGTTACTTTGTACTAAAAAAATGCACGTGATTTTGGGTAGAAGAGGGAGATGGGGTAGTCAACCACGCATCGTATCACCAGGAGGAGGAAGGGTTTAAAAAGTTGCTAAATGCGTGATTAATGGACGACCCTTTATCTGGAACACACTATACGTTTATCTAATATTAACTTTCGCATCAAAAATAGAGAGAAAAACATTATTCCCGGTGTATCCGTTTTTGAGATTTGACCCAATATTGTTATTTTTCAAATGCAACATCCTATATATTTTAAGGTCAATCTTTTGCATTCGTTTTCTGATTAAATTGATGTATTACAACCTATATTTTTTGTATACAGGCTGATTCAAATTCGAGGACCACCATAGGGATCTTGGGAACTGCAAGAGATAGGTGGGTAGTTTAAGTTTGTCAAAGTTGCTTATTTTGATGCTTAACAAAATGCAGTCTTGAAACTAAAAAAATTCCGACTACTTTCGGAAAAAAACGAAATTTTACAATGTTTTTATTTTTTTACTGAAGTTATTTTAAAAAAATTTCAAAATAAATAACACATTATTATGACCACTTTTTGCCCTCTACAAGATACCAGTTTTAAATTCTAAATCCTAACGTTTTCGGTTAACCATCATTAACTTTGTTCTTTCTTATGGAAGTAATTTTTACTTTTTGTGTCATTTAATAGAGAATTTTTTTCTGATTTCAAAAATGTGAACATTGCATTTGTTTAATATTGTTAAAATATCTTCTTTTTTGCCTAGAAAACTTTGTCTTAGGTAGTGTACGTACGTAGTTACTTGCGTTTTTGCGAATTAATCGCGCTATTTCTGATGTTTATATTTTTGAAATCAGAACAAAACTTCTCTATTAAATGAAATAAAAAGTAAAAATGACTTCCATAAAAAAGACAAAGTTGATGATGGTTGGATATCTTCTAAAGAAACCGCATTTTGTTAAACAAAAAAATTCGCAATTTTGCCAAATTTAAACTACCTACTGATCTTTTACAGTTTCCGAGATCCCGATGGTGACTCTCCAATTGAAATCAGCCTGTATACATAATTATATATCACATTTTTCAAAATTTTGAAATGGCATGTTTTTAGCACCAGCTACTTTTATTGATTGGTATCGGCTGCCATGGATACAATAAACAAAACAAAATCTCCACAAATCCATGGCCTACTTAAAAAATAAGGTTTTTATTTTTGGTTCGTGGTCAGAAAAAAAAATGCTTTAAATACTCCCATTATCATCTATACCTCCTCAAATAAGAATACGTTTGCTTATTTGGCATATTATGTGATTTATTAATTGACGTGTATTATCCTATATCATACTTATTTCCAATAAATTTTTTTATTAATAGTCTGAAAATAAAAAAAATATATAGTCGCCTATGAAAGACACTTGATAGCTAGTTTTTTTTTTAAAAAGTGGTTTGTCAAAATAGATGTGTCTGCATTCTTCATGTCAGTAACATTTTTCACATTGTTAAAAATAAATTTCTAAATGTCTAAATACGTTAACTATGAAAACTATGACACATCAAAAGTGTTCAGTGCAACGAAAAATCGAAAGTAGCGTCTTCAATATCGGTTAGAATTTCCCGAAAGGATACAACCAAATGTCAAGATCTTTAAACGGTAAATTCTTGTTATTTATTACTGATTATGTGTTAAATATAGGTATACATTTTAGGTTGAAAATGATTTAACTGAATTTGGTTCATTTGTTCAGCATCGACCTAGAAATTATCAAATGAGACCCTTAACGACGAAGTCACTCTTTGTAAAGGAAATCACGAAGCTGCTTCACGAGAAAAAAACTTTTAAAACGTGACAAATACATATAAATATCATAAGAACCAATATATGAAACCTGAAGATTTACTTAGAAGGCGCGAGCTTTGTCTTTAATTTCTTAGGAAGGAAAATGGGGTCCAAAATTTTAGCGATAACATTATTTGGAGTGATGAAGCACACATAGCAAATGCTGGAATTTGTAATAGACAAAATATCTCCTATTGGGCAAATGAAAACCCGCAACACTATATCTATATTATAGTCCAAGAAAAATGTGGGCTTAATGTTGTGCGGTTGCCTAAAAAGACATACCTAGTATAAAATATTATATTTTTAGAGGCACACTTACAAGCTGACAGATGTATCCAAACATTCGAGCACAATCTGAAAGATTTACTCCATAATATTCCTTTGAAAGAGAGACAGGCTGTTATTTTTCAGCAAGACGGTGCTTCAGCTCATAATACGTTAATTGTTCGAAATTATTTAAATAGATAGATAGATACTTTTTTTATTTCCACGTTCATCCTTGTATACATAAAAACAGACAAAAAATAACAATATGTTCTAAAAAAAATAATAAACTAAAACAAGTAAATAAGACTAGATGAATCGCAGATAGGTACCTCATTAAACAATTACTGTTGTGTTGAGGTTACCATCACTTAAAAAAACCAAGTTAATATTAATTCCAAATGCACTACATAAATTAAACAGAGAAAAAAGAACTTAAAAATTGCAGTAATAATGATATCCGTGGCGAGAGATTTATAGACTACTGTAACGGTGTAATGAAAGTTAAACTTTAGATAAGAAAATGATACGCCTATTAACCTATCTTCTTGTTATCACAGTAAAAATCAAGCAAGATGGAGACAAAGGCAAAGAGTTATACCTACAAAGAATACACTATTTAAAGATAACGAAAAAGAAAGAGAAAAATAAACAAATAAATAAATGGTGTACCTATTGTAAAAAAAGAATTTCTACGTCGTAAACTGTTAGCACAGATAAAATACCCATCTGTGCTGTTAGTAACCACGATTTTAAATTATTTGTAAATTTCGTACATATTCTTATACTAGATATATGTGGCTTGGTAATTTATTAAATAAATATGGTGCACAGTATGTATAAAAATGCTTATAGGCCTCGATGTTTGGCTTAGGAGTCCACACAAGGTTCTTAGATTTTAATCTGTTTGAGTGAACGTTATAATT